AAGTACTGAAATTTTATAGCTTGCTTGTAAAAACACCTTCGCAGAGGCCTTCCAAAGTAGGACAATGATTCTAAAAATTTACATGATGAGCTGGGAAGAAAGCTCTTCTAAACTCTTACTAATAGAAAACTAATTTTGAGTCACCATGATGCTCTCTCTCTGGAAATACTATTTCCAGATTATTTTCATCTGACAAAGAGATCAAATAACATGCAACGAAACCTGTGAGGAAAAATATTACAGAGGTGTGTTAGAGAATTAGTGTTACATTATTTTTATGGATTTCATAATGTTTATAATATTTGTCAGCTCTTAAAATTTTATTGTCTTTTCCTTTCTCATTTAAAGCTTTTACTTTTGTGTGTAATTTTGTACTTTTTTCCTAAGAGGAACCCACAAAACGAAATAAGCTTGAAGTCTGTAAAATTAAGATCAGTCTTTGACAAACATTCATCTTCCTCAACTCCTTGCCTTGAGGTCTTAACCCCCAACTCTGTATTAATCTCATCAAACAAATGTAAAAACAATACAGTCTATAATATACGTAACATACAAAATGATCAGAAAGTCATGCTTTATAACTCCCCCTAAAATAAACAATCCAGACAAGGATAACCACTGATGTATATAAAAACCGTAAGGCAGAAAGTTACTGGAAAGAAGTGATTTGCATGATGTCCAAGTGTCACCTCATATAGTACTTGCTAATCCCAAAGGGATAAAGGTGCCCTTACAATGGAGACTGCCTTAACCAAGTGATTAAACTATAATTCCTAAGAAAGGGACAACCTGGCGTTTATGTCCTTCCTGATGTAATGCAGTATGTATCTTTCTTATGGAGTATTATAGCAAAAAAAAAAAGTTTAATGTGAATCTAATTAAGGCTTTAGACCTATCAGTTTCCAGAAATGCAAACTTGTCCAACTTGTCCCTCTCTCCCTTGCATTTCTGGAAGGGAGAGAGGGACAAGTCAGACAAGCCCAAAAGGAAATAAGCAGACAAGTCTAGAGTGTGGGATATTCTACACAACACAAGGCCTGATATCTTTAAAATGTCAATTTCATGGAAAAATAAAAAGGTGGAAAGGCTGTCTTGGAGTAAAATAATAAAGAAATATAATAATCAAAGGTAATATGTGAATTTTGGATCCTGGTTCTCCTTCAGCCACAACAGTTATTAAAGAGAACTGAACACTAGGAATATTTGAACATTAACCAATTACCAAACAACATTAAGGAATTACTGTCAATTTTCTCTTGCATGACGACAGTAATGTCGTTTTCTAAATTTGAATTTTATGTTTAAAAAATGCCTGATGAAGTTTTTAGGGGTGAAGTTACTATGTTTACAATTTACTTTCAAATGGTGCATCGACTTTTCTTTACTTTCGAAAATGTATAAATATTTCTGAAAATAATAAAAAATTGAAATGAGTAGAAAAATAAATTTTAAAAAATTGAAATTGAAAAACAAGTACGTTGAAAATTTTGTGGTAAAAAACTGAATTAGAAAAATAAAGATATTTTTCTCTCATTTAATCAAGCTAGCCAGAGTTTTTAGTTGAGTCAAAGTAATTTATTCTTGCCAAATATTATCAGTGAAGCAGTATCTAAAGCCTAGGGGATAGTGCTTTCAGCTGCCATATTTTACCAAATACAGTGGATACTTGAACAACATGGGTTTGAACTATGCAGGTCCACCTACATGAGGATTTTCTTCTACCTCTGCTACCCATGAGACAATAAGACCAACCCCTCCTCCTCCTCGAAGTGAAGATTATGAGGACAAAGACCTTTATGATGATCCACTTCCACTTAACAAATAGTAAATACATTTTCTCTTCGTTATGATGATCTTAATCACATTTTATTTTCTCTAGAGTACTGTAACAATACAGTCTATAATATACATAACATACAAAATGTTCATTACTTGACTGTATATGCTATCAGTAAGGCTATTGATAGTTAAGTCTTTGGGGTGTCAAAAATTACACACAAATTTTTGACTACATAGGGGCCAAGCACCTCTAAACCCCAAGTTGTTCAAGCGTCAACTGTAACATCCCAGGGCCCAAATGCAGCCATGCCCTGCCTATTTCATATTTTCGAGTGGCTTATGAGCATTTTTAGACTGCTGTCATTCAGGATGAAAAAAATCAAGTAGGAGCAAAGGGAAGTACGGATACAAGTCAAACAAACAAATAACAGCTGATGTATTAATTTTAGAAAGAAAAAGAAATTAGGTATGATTCTATTTAGGAACAGTGTACACATTCAGTGATTTATTTCATAATAAAAGGGTTGAGTACTTCTTATTGTTCACAAAGAGGTCTTTCGCATATGACTCCTTAAAACTGATTTATTAAACAGAGAAGGTGAGTAGTACCGCATTTCACAGATGAGGAAAATGAGTCTCGGAGAGGCTGGTATCTTGCCCAAGGTCCCACGGTCAGTATGTGAGCCTGGTCCCCTCACATTTAACTGCTATCCTCCAGCATGGTCGCTGAGTGGCTGTCTTACTCTGGTGATGTTCATGATTCTGAGCTTCAGTTTTCTGCCTAGAGAGCCTAAGGTTCAGATGAGAACACGCAGAGGTTCGTAATTTGGCTAGAAGGTAAAACCAGGCAACAGATTCCCCTTCCTCCCATCAACAGAATCTTGGTGGGGGTAGGAGGTGGGAAGAGACAGGAGCCCGGTCTAGGAAGGAGGCACCAGAGATGGCTTGCACATCTCCCTCCTGGGACACCTCTTCAGACACTATCACCTGTCAGGGTCCGAGGACATGAAGGAACATGGAAAGCTGGGTGTGAGGCAGAGCAACCACTGAAGTAAGTATACACAGAGACTGTGAGAAGCAAAAGCACCACATGAATGGGTGAGACTGCTTCACTCTGTGTCAAGTCCATGCCTCTCACACTCCTCACAATGCCCAATAGCTGCCTATTTGGAGTGGCTTTCGTTAATAAAAGTCTGTAACTGGGGAAATTACTAATTCTGTGGCTTTCATAAAACACAGAGGTCTACCAAATGTTTGCTTTGGCAGATTTTTTTTTTCCTCCCAAAGGGTAGCCCATACAGTCCTGCAATAAAGCAAGCTTTGTTCTAAAGATTTACAGTGTTTTCCCAGTGAAAATTCTAATTGACAGCCATCAGGCAAATAACAATGCATGGCAAAGAGAGCTCTAGTTTCAGCCATTCTTCCAAGATCCGTCTCAAAGAAGCACTCACTGCTTAGGTTTCCTGGGCCAGTGTTTAGTGTAGTCTTTATTCGGACACATTATGCTTGGATATTAGAAGTTTATCACTCAAGGCAGTCAAATCTTAAAAATCAAAAGAACTTCAAGTTCAAAGACAAGAAATTTCATTACTTCCCAGGCTCAGAATTACAGGTCCCTCCACAAAGAATATGCATATGACACAAAAATGCAACCATGCCTTTTCCATGTAAGTGGGGGAACCCTAAAAAATGAAATGTATAATAAGCTCTTTAGAAACAGTTGCATAAGGATATTAAATGCACCGTTATTCAATGGATTCATCACAGGATAAAAGTTCAAATAGCAGAGGGAATGATTTTCATATGAATGTTGGGTGTTGCCAGTCACATACAAGAGCCCATCATGAACACAGAGAACCAAGTGACATCAAGCAAGTCAGAGGAGCAGTGAGTGACAAGGTATAGAGAGGGCTGTTCAGATAAGGGACAGACATTACTGGATGCTTTTTCAAAGAAAACTTTGAAGATTTTGTTAGGCTTTCTTCGTGGAACTGTCAAAAGTAGCAATACAATTGTAAATGAGTGGTACTCAGGGGCCACATCACTGCCATTTATAGGCCAGCTGCCAGTGGCTGCCCATGATGGGAAATTAGCATCAAAGAAGGACCTGGAGTTGCCAAGCTGACACACAGCCCAGTGAAAGTACTCTCAAATAAGGTATGACACCCAGCACGGTCACACAAATCAAAACCAAAATAAAAACTGTCTAAAAGGAACAGTAGCAAATAGAAATCTTCCTTCTTTGTGAACCTTCCTGAATCTCTCCCTTTGCCAATGTCCAGTCCCACAGTGAAAATAAGCAAACATTATGCATCTCCAGTTGGACAATACAGATTAAAGAAAGTCAAGCTGGTGAAAGAGATGGAAAAATAACACAACTTATAATTTATCTAAACAAAAAGCAGAGAAAGAAACTTAGCCTCCTTTTTCTAAACAAAAAGCAGAGAAAGGAACCAAAGGAGAAAAGTGCAGCATGAATGGGCAGGAGCCCCAGACAGGAGTCAGGGGTCCTGAATCCTCATGAGGCTGGTGTCTACCACAAACCGTTGGTTGATAAGTTCCTTAACCTTCTGACCTTCCAAGTCCTTCTTGGTAAGGAAAAAAAATTCATCTAAATCAGCATTTCTGAAACTGCACTTCTTCGAGCTCTAGGGTTTTGTGGAAGTGCCTCCTCTAAGGAAGCCACAGCAACACGGAGTAAGATGAAAAGGACCCCATGCGAACGCTCAACCCGGAGACTTCAGGGCCGATCCACTTCACATTCTAAGAGTTAAGTAAAGCCTTTTGTTTAAAAAGTTCTATTACCAAGACAATTGACAGCTAAAATGAATTAAAAACATGAGATCAACATACCTTACAGCTTTTTAATCTTTAGAGTTACGCGGTTTCTATGTGCTTCTTTGGAATATTGCTTTCAGAATTAACTAGCTGATTGGCTGGTTAATATTGATCCTCGAATCTGTATAGCAGGTTCTCCTACTTAAAAAATGAGGAATCTGCAATTCAGTTAAAACAAGTAACCCCAAATTATACAGCCTAATAGTTGACAAGATTCAAACCCAGAAATGTCTGACATTAAAACCATTAAGCTTGATTCTGTCCTAATAGATAAAAAATAAACTTCACCGTGAAAAACAGTTGGCTACCTCATTATTACTGCAATTGTTTTCTCCATGGAACATCAGGTTCTTCAACTGTATTCCCTAAAAGAAAACACTTACCCTGGTGAGCATAAATGAATAGCCACAAGTTCGACCCAGCAAGCAAATCTGTTTGGTACAGGAAAGCCCAAGACGTTGACAAAGCCTCCAGGGCAATAATGGTTGTTAAGAACTTTCAAAGCAAACAAAACTCCTAAAAAAGAATAAAGAACACACAAATATCAACAATCCAAATATGGGAGCATCAACATTTACAAAGAAAGCTAAAGAAAAGTAAAAATGATTATTCGATTACATCCAACTTTGTGCTTTAAAACATACCCTATCCCTCACAACCCTGCATTCAGTAAAAAGAACGTTCAAGGCAGTCATTCCTTTGATGTTTCTAAATACGGAAGTCCATATTGGTGTTCGGTATGCTACTAAATACGTAACACCTAAAATGGGAATAAAATACTAGCAATGGTATTAAATGCCAGTGAATTTTACACTATAAAATAGTTATGCTATATAAATTTTAACTTGATAAAAAATACCAGTAATATGTATTTTTCTAACCTCTATGGAAAATCATGTTGAAGGCAGGGCATATATTCTTTCTTCTCCCATAATTAGATGCATAAGGATACATCTTGGAAGGAAAGGGAAAGGATGTCAGAAAAAGCAGAAGGAAGGATTAGATTTCCTTGTTTCAGAACTACTTCTCTCCTCCCCTTCACAGTCTAATATTTAGAACACCTAATTTAAATCCTGCTGGCAATTTTGGTCCCATAAAATATCTATAAAAAAGAACTAGTGAGGAAGAAGATGAGAGACAACGCAGCACACAGCTAATGTCATTCAGACTGGGTTCAAATCCCAGCTCTATCGCTTCCTAGCTGTGCAGCCTTGTGTAGAAACCTCACTTCTCTGAGTCTTGGTTTCCACAACTATAAAATCAAGGCAATCCCTCAACTATAAAATCAAGACAATCAACGGGCAGCAGGTGATCAGAAAAAAAAATTGAAGATAAAACAATAAAATCAAATCAAGACAATCCCATCTCCACATGGATGTGCTGCATAAATGAAACAGGTTAGGTTATGCAGAGTGACTATCATGGCTCCTGCAACGTGGCAAGCATGCCAAGGCAGGGTGTGGTGTATTTATTAATGAAGTCAGGAGGCATATGCAGGACAGTTCTACAGGTGGCATTGGGCCTATGTAGTTCTCCCCCTTCTTCCTCGCTTGTAGTTCACAAGAATAACTGTGGAAATGTGCTGGAAATCCAATACCCTGAGATAAAAAGGAGCTGGCTGAAACAGCCTAGTACTCTCCTCGAACAGGATGTCTCAAAGCTTTGCCCAGTGATTCATGTGATTCCCAGGTTTGTACCTGGCTGCCTCTTCGAGGTTCCTTATCTTCATGTAAGGGGCACACACAGTCAAGAGCCCAACAGCCCTGGGCAGCTTTTTGAGCCTAGAAGGATGGGCTTACAATGAAACCTAGGGTCCTGTTGTCCCTTGGTGCCTAACTGTAAATACTAAATCTGCTTCATGTAACTGGTTGCATATGAGTGTGCTCTGTCTCATCGGGTGCAGACAAGTTGGTGAACAGAGAGAGCACACTGAGTCTGCTTCACGGGCACACTCATCTTTTTAGAGAACTCCCTATTGCAAATACGTGTGTGGGTCTTTCTGTGACCCTACCATATGGAGCTGGTACATGTTTCCAATATGACATCTTTTATAAAACCACCTTCCAGCAGGTCCTAGTGTAGACTGTCAAACAGTGAATGACGCAGCGTAATGTAGAATGCAAAAGCTAGTTCCTGCTATGTTCCAGCCTCTTCTCCAAGATGCAAGTCTCAGCAGCCCTTGACCACTCAGAATTCAGTCCTCTCACCAACTAGGGACCCACACTTCATAAAATTACAGCAGCCTCACCTCTCTTGCTTCCTTTATGCAGCAACCTCAAAATTTCATCTCCCTTACCTGAGAACCCTACAGCACAGCTCCTTTTGAAGTCAGGTTCATCCATAAATTCGGCAACAGCAAATTGCAAGAGCAGGTATACCACTCCAGTAAGTATGGAAAATGTGGTGATAACACAGACAAACCATCTACTTCCCAATCTTTTTTCTAGATTTATTCCTTTCCAGAGCATGGATGCCATATTGAAATATAAATGCCAATCATCAGCATGGTGAAAGGGAGAGAGCAGTAATCGCTGCCAGTCGTTTTGCTGGTAACACTTCTCCACGCTAAGGCAGGAGCTATATAGTGACTTCAGAGGATTCAAGAAGAACCAGATGTTGAGGGCCAAAGTTGCTAGGGTGACAGGTGGAATGTTGTTGATCCCAACATGGAAGATTTGAGAAAGAAGCAGAATAAGTCCGGCATTTATTCCTCTTGATCTCCGCTGCATGGCCAGGTATCAGGGAAATGGCTCAGCAACGGGAAAACGCGGTCAGGTGGTCAGGTTTTAGGTATCCGGAGAGATGAACACACAGCTGAACCTAAAACACAAAATACATGTGAAAAACCATCTTTTAAGAATTATCACATTGATAAGACATACTAACTTCAAGATAAACTCCCATGAGGTAAATGCTACTTCTCATTTTAACAGAAATATTTATGTTCAACATCTTCAAGAGTAATATATAAGATGCTGACTGACACCCTTCCTTCATTTTACATTCTAGAATAGAAATTTTATCCCAAATCCCAATGAATCAGTTAATGGACAGGTATGTTTTTCTCTGACAAGCATGTCATGAAATTAACTTGACTTCCTTGTATACAAACATGTAACCTCATGAAAAGCCTATGAAGATTGTGTGCAAGTATTTAATGATTTCTACTCAGAATCCTGGCCGAAATTCTTTACCCTCTCCATTTTTTAAAAAAGAAATATTTGATTTTGATATGTTGGAATGAGCTTGTTCATTAAACATCAACGAGTTTTAAGACACAAGCATACATTACCTTTAATCCCAATTTCCATGCTGCCTCTTCTATCAACTGTCTGAACTCTATTTTCACAACAACTTAAGCTTTTAGATTCCTACAAGCTAAATCCTGGATTGAAACACAGACCTTGTTTTTAAGAAGGCTCACTTTCCACCAAGAAATAAACCAACAGCCACCACACAGTGTTCCAAATGCAGTAAGAGAGAGAACCCAGAGCACAGGCACACAACGCAGCCTGAGGAGGTGATCTGACTGTGGTCTTCAAGGGTGATCTGGGGTTAATGACAATGAGAAGTTCCATGGCTACTAGCCCACTTCTCCACCCTGCTGGACCTGGGCTGGCATCGTGACATGCTTTGGCTAAGAGGATGTGGAGGAAGGTATACTACATGAGCTCCCAGCCTACACTTCAAGATGATCTGTAGGCTTTTCTCTCTTGAAACCATCTCAAGCGACCACATGAACAAGTTTAGGCCAGCCTGCTGGATAATGTAAGAAAGGCACAGACTCCGGTCACCCTGATGGTCCTGGCCACTAGTCAGCTACCGCCCCAGAAGGGAAGCTGTCTAGCTGACCACACATGCATAAGTGAGTCCAGCTGCTCAGTCTAATTTGCTGACCCACAAAACAGTGAGCTAGATAAATGGTACTTGGTTTACGTCACTGAGCTTTGGAGTGGTTTGTTAGGCAGCAATTACTAATACAGGAATTACTACCTTTGGGAGTGCTATGGTTCAGGTGTTTACCCCTACAAAACCTCATGTTGAATTTTTTGTTGTTGTTGTTCTGTCACCTAGGCTGAAGTGCAGTGGCATGATCTTGGCTCACTGCAATGACTACCTCCTGGGTTTAAGTGATTCTTGTGCCTCAGACCCCTGAGTAGCTGGGATTACAGGCATGTGCCACCATACTTGGCTAATTTTTGTATTTTTATTAGAGATGGAGTTTCACCATGTTGGTAGGCTGGTCTGGAACTCTTGACCTCAGGTTATCTGTCTGCCTCAGCCTCCCTAAGTGCTGGGATTCTAGGTGTTAGCTACTGCACTGGGCCTCATGTTGAAATCTGATTCTACTATTGAAAATAGAGCCTAATGGGAGGTGTTTGGGTGATGGGGGAGTATCCCTCACAAAAAGATGAATGCCCTCCCTGAGGTCAGGGGTGAGTGAGTTCTCACCCTTATTAGTTCCTGCCAGCACTGGTCGTTAAAAGAGACTGGCACCTCCCCACTTCCTTTCTTCCTCTCTCAGCACATGATCTCTGTACATGCCAGCTCCCCTTTGCCTTCTACTGCCAGTGGAAGTGGCCTGATGCTCCCACCAGATGCTTAATTTTGAACTTCATAGCCCGCAGAACCGTGAGCTAAATAGACCTCTTTTCTTTATAATTACTCAGATGCAGGTATTTCTTTACAGCAATCCTAAATGGACTCAAACAGGGAGGGACTGGTTTATGCTCATGAAAAGAAGCTAGTAATGGAAGAGATGCAGGCAGAGACACAGACTAAAGATGCAAGAGATAAAAAAAAAAGAATCAATGCTTGGAGGGAAGAGTCTTTTCCTCTTAACAGAAAAAAAATTAGGCATATCTGTGGATATTAAATAGATTGGGGCAAAATGTCAAAAAAAGTTCTCATCTAATGGTTCTGTTTTCTCTGTGGAGATTACTTGGCCCCCAACCAAACAGGTAACTCACTCCTATACCCCAAGGATTCTAACTTGGACTGCACACTGGACAATGCATGAGCTTTAAAGTGAAAAGGGGGCAGGATTCTCTAATTTTCTAGTTCTGTGACCTAGGGCAAATCACTTAAACTTTCTGAACTTCAATTTCTTTGCTTTAAATTAAGAATCATTAAACCTTCTTCCCAGGATTACTGTAACATGATTGGAATAAAACAGGTAGAATAAATAGTAGCTACTACTTTCATTTCTATAAAGTAAACTCACTTATGTGAGAATCCATTCCTTTGCAAATGGTAACATCCTAAAAGACTCAAATGTACTCCTATGCCCCCATATGGATTATTATCAACATCATACCACAGCAATGCCCAGAAAAAAGTTACGCATATGTATATATATGTGTGTATGCATACACATACACCCACACGCACACAATTAGCTATATATACACACATGCATGCACACACATAATATTGGCACAACTCCTTGTATCAGCACAACCCATGCTTCTATATTTTTATTATTGTAGCTCTGAGGAATTCTTATGAGCTAGAAAATTTAATGAAATTTAAACTAAAATGCTCCCATAACTTTGGATAAATGTTATTTACCCAAACACCTCCCATTAGGCTCTATTTCCAATACTGGAAATCAGATTTCAACATGAGGCCAGGCGCAGTGGCTCACACCTGTAATCCCAGCACTTTGGGAGGCTGAGGCAGATAGATCACCTGACGTCAGGAGTTTGAGACCAGCCTAACCAACATGGTGAAACCCGGTCTCTACTAACATTTATATTTTTCACATTAGAACTCAAGTCAATGTTCAACTCTCTACCTACTGTGACTTTTTTGCAATTCTCCTAAATTTATCAATATGTGTGCACGCATGTGTGTGTGCACACACATAAATATGTATATTATACCTATCAAACATTATTACCTTTCATAGGAACAATGAAAAAACTGGCCTTGATCACTGATCAATAAATCATCCACTTAAAAGAAATCACAAAATAAACCATTTAATACCATTGCCAACAGTGTCTTATGACACTGGGCTCTACGCAGCAGAAATTCAAAACTAATTACATCTTTGCTTCGGAAAAAGCTGCCCCTCAATTAGAATCGTTAGTGATGAAGAGTATAGATAAAAGAACAGAATTTCCAGTCTTACTTCACACTGTGTCCCAGGTTGTGATCACACTTTCCTAAGTTACTTCTGGCCAAATGCAAAGGTGTCTTTCTGTCTGGATCCCTTCGCATTTCCCAGCTCTTCCCTGTTGACTGCTCCTGCTTCCAGAGGACGCCTTGCTCTCCTGAGGCTTCCCTCCTCCTTCCAATCCATTTCTCTGCTGTTCACTTCTGCCTATCCCTATTCTCTCCTGCACACACTCAAGGGCTTCCACTTTCATGATTTTTATAATTCTTTTTATCAGGATGATTTCCACATTTCTATTTTTCAGCTTTGATTTCTCAGCAGTTTTCAGGGATATAAGCTTAGAGGAAAATATAGTCTGCCTGATGTTTTGCTTTCTGAAAACTGAATTATCCTTTCTTATAGGATGATGGTTCAGACATTCCTCCTTTCACTCATCTATCTGATAAATATTTACCAAGTGTCATTTCACTCATCTATTCCATAAATATTTACCAAGTAAGTGCACTGGAGGTACAGCAAATAACAAAACACTAATATTCCCAGCCCCTAAATAGCCTACTTCTATTTGATGAAGGAAATACAAACACTGTCCACAGGAAATCAAAAGAGAAGTAAAATTGTGTGGCTTGATTTCTCAATGAATGCATACTTAATGTGAAAGGAGATATAACCATAGCCAATGCGATAAGTGCATATCTTTGGGGCTCAACCTTTGTAAACAAAGGCCACTTAGCGTGCCAGTGTAGGCAGAACATATGTTTTGAGTTTTAAGTAGCAAAGACAAATCAGTCCTAGTTCGTAACAACTGTAGAGCAGTTTCCTTTCTAATCAGTTACCAAGTCAGCCATCCAAGGTGAGGGATGCAGCCTGTGACAAGACAACTTAAAAAATCCAACTGATTCATGTCAAGATCAAATCTGTAACCTGACCACGTGGCCCAGGGAGGCACAGTTCTAGGAACACCAAGGAAGAAACACCACAATAAGAGAGCACTGACTATAAAATGAATATTGTGTATGTCTTGCCCATCAGATAATACCCACAGACATTTTTAGAGTGCTGCACTATCTGGAAGACCACAGAGGCATCATCAATTATAGCAACTTATCTGTGAACTGAAGAACTGTAAAATCTCTTGGGTTTTGGAAGTGGTTTATGACTTTTTTTTTTTTTTTTTTGAGATGGAGTTTCACTCTTGTTACCCAGGCTGGAGTGCAATGGCGTGATCTCGGCTCACCGCAACCTCCACCTCCTGGGTTCAGGCAATTCTCCTGCCTTAGCCTCCCGAGTAGTTGGGATTACAGGCACGCACCACCATGCCCAGCTAATTTTTTGTATTTTTAGTAGAGACGGGGTTTCACCATGTTGACCAGGATGGTCTCGATCTCTTGACCTCGTGATCCACCCACCTCGGCCTCCCAAAGTGCTGGGATCACAGGCGTGAGCCACCGCGCCCGGCCCGGAAGTGATTTATGTATTCTATCTTGTATCCAGACCACAAGCCAGTTACCAGAGTTTAAGAAAGTGCGGTCCCTGTGCTCCCTTACCTTACAAACATACCCTCCCATCAGACTCAACACGCCCCAAACTGAACACTGAACTGTCCCTTCCAAATCAGCTCCTCCTCTCATGCTCACCACCTCAGGATACGGGATCTCCATCTATCTAGTTGCTCAAGTCAAAGTCGTAAGTCATAGAA